GAGCTAGAGTTACAGGTGGTGGTAGGGTCCTCTGGAAGAGCTCTAAGCACTGAGCCATCTCTCCAGCCCCACAGATTTATTTCTTGATTCCATGTCATGTCTAGCCTGGGTCAGAGTGAAAAGTGTCTTTGTTCTACTGTGCACAGTACAGTTGAATCGATAGAGATCCCACCATCTTGCAGCAGGCCATTTAGAGTACTTGCCTTCCCGGTTACCACAGCAGGGCAGGGGATGCCCAGTCACTCTTCTAGACTCCTGCCTGCCCAGAAATGAGTCATTTTCCTCACTGCCTATTGATTAGAACAGGTCACATGACCCTGCCCAGCTGTAAGAGAACTGGAAATATGGGGAACACATGGATGAACATTATCAAGAAGTGATGTTATGTTTGTTAAAATGGTATATTTGAAAATTGTAGCTTGAGATTCTCCAGGTCTACAAGCTTTATGACTAATCCAGTGTTTTAAACTCTCAGATTCAGACTAATTTCATCAGTCTGGTGGGACAGGGAAGCTGCTGCCAATCAAAAAGTACATGAACAGAGTGGCCAATTGGGTAGAAGAGAAATGGCAGGCCCAGACATCATCTGCTTAGCTCTCTCACCAGGACAGTAGGTTACTTTTACTGTGTCCTTCAAAACTGCCCTTCATCCCACAAATGATATAAAAGCCCTAATGCTCAGGACAGGGCCTTATGGAGCGATCTCAGTTCTGTCATGATTGCTCAACTTTGTAGCCTGAACACAACCATAGACAGGTGTAAATGAGTATTGATTTGTTCCATAATACTATGGACACTGGTGTGCCGGGCGTGGTAGCACACGCCTTTAATCCCAGCACTTGGGAGGCAGAGGCAGGCGGAGCTCTGTGAATTCAAGGCCAGCCTGGTCTACATAGTGAGTTTCAGGATAGCTGGGGCTACAGGGAGACCCTGTCTCAAAAAGACCAAAAAAAAAAAAAAAGTATCACGTATGAAATGTGATTCTTTTTTTTGTTGTTTGTTTCCCTCTAACAATTATACAAGAAAAAAAGACCACATGCAAGATTTAGACCACAGTCTGTATGTAGTTGGTTGGATCCTACCACAAATAAATTTATAGACAACACCTCTGGAAAGTTTTCCAGGACTCATGTTTCAGGGAACAGTGGTCCCGAGAAGAAATAAACAGTCTTGATCTGACACTGTACACCTTGAAAGATGTTCATAATGTGTCTGAGCAGATTAAAGGCCCTGTGAGCGAATGGCAGAGGTCATAGAGCAGGCCCTAAACACAAAAATATTCTTGACATTTTTTCAAATAAGACTGGTTTCCATCTCTCAGAGGCAGAGATCATCAAATCCATTCCTACTTCACCTTGGGGATGCTGAGGACACTGTCTGTGTTGCTGGTGGGAGGGTCACATAGTATAACCTCTATGGGAATAGGTAGGTTAAGATCTTGTCAAAGATTTTCTCCAAGTCTAGAATTTTTCCTACAGCTATAGTTTCAGAAATGTGAAATGATGTATAAATAAGAGTGTTCATATAGGCCTAGTACCTCATACTTGTAATCTCAGCACTAAGAAGGTTGAAGGAGGACTGTTGTGAATTTGAGACCAGCCTGGGCTATGAAGTGAGTTCTAGGGCCAAGATGGGCTACAGTGTGAGACCATGTCTCAAAAAAGAAACACACAATATTTGTTGCACTCTTGTTTTTGGTAGCCAGTGAGTAGAAGCTACCTAAATGTCTGAGTGAACTGGCTCAGTAAGTCACAGCACAAACATTCAGGAATTCTGTGCCACTGTGTTTAAGAAGTGAGGAGACTCTTTATTGTCTTGCTTTTAAGACACGGTCTCATGTAGCCTGGGCATACTTTGGAGTTTTTCCCGATCCTTCTGCCTCTGCTTCCCAAGTGCTGAGATCACAGGTGTGTTCCACCCTGCTTGGCTCACTCCTTCCCTCATTAGTTCGCCTTCCTCCTGCTGCCTGCTTCTCTTTCTCTGCCCCTTTTTCTCTCCCCCTTCTCATCTTCCTTTTTTTGGTCTTTTTGAGACAGGGTCTCCCTGTAGCCCCAGCTGGCCTGGAACTTAATTGTAGACTAGGCTGGCCTTAAACTCACAAGAGATCTGCCTGCCTCTGCCTCCCAAGTGGTGGGATTAAAGGCGTGCGCCACCACGCCCAACCTAAGATTTATTTTTTGCTTGTGTATGTGTGTGTACACTACTGTGTGCAGGTACCTTCAAAGGCCAGAAGAGAGTATCAGAGCCCTTGGAACTGGAGTTACAGGCAGTTGTAAGCCACCTAACATGAATACTGGGAACCAAACCTGGATCCTCTGAGAACAGTAAACACTCCTAACCACTGAGCCACCTCACCAGCCCACCTGTTTTTGTTTCTGTTTGTGTTTTTTGTTTTTGTTTTTGTTTTGAGATAGGGCCTTACCATGTATCCCTTGGTGGCCTGGAACGTGCTGTGTAGTTCAAGTTGGCCTTAAACTAGCAGTTCTCCTGCCTCACCCTCCTCCATATGCCATCGCACCTGACAAGAATTGAAAGCTCAGGGGCTAGGGATATGGTTCAGTGAATAAGAGCAATTTCTCCACAAGGATAAAGACCTGAGTTCAAATCCCCAGCACCCGTGTAAAAAGCCAGGCATGGCTGTGCTGTAACCCTGTAACCCCAGTGCTGTAGGGGTTAGAAGTTGGAGCTTTCTGGCCACTAGCCTAGCTCCAGGTTCAGAGAGAGACCTTGTTTCAAGGATAAAGTAGAGAGTTGTAGAGCAGGACACTTACTGATCTCTTCTGACTTCAAGGTGTGCACATGGGTGCATACACCCCATCACACACATGTACATGTACCATACACACTGATCTGAATGATCTCCAGGATATGCTGCTGTTTGTGTAAAGAGGGATAAACACACAGAGAGTTTTGTTTATATTGTTCATAAAATAGCTGTATAAGGATTTATAAGAAACTACTATATTCCTTGCCTCCAAGGTGAGTAATAGGCTGGAGATGGGAAGAGAGCAAGACCCCTTCTTTCAGTCCTTTTAGAAACTTTGACTAGTCTGAAATGTATGAACCCAAATATTCTCCTTCCTTGACCTCGAAGAGGCTGTGTGTACAGGCACATTGCTATGCCCCTTTTTGTTTCATTCTTGCGGGGGGAAGGTAGAGTTTCATATAGTCCAGGATGGTCTCCAGCTTGCTAGGTAGCTGAAGCTGGCCTTGAACTCCTGATCCTCTTGCTTCTACTCACCAAGTACTGGGATTACAGGCATGTGCTTGTAAACCTGGATTCAGTATTTAACTTTTACAGATTTCTAAAAAAAAACCTTTGTAGATCTTTTATCATTTTTATTACACTTAGTATTTATGTATTTATTGTTTGTGTGTATCTGGGTACACATGTGCTATGGCATGCATGTTCAGGTCAGAGGACAATTTAGGGGAGTCAACTCTGTCCATCATGTGAGCCCTGAGGATCAAACTCAGGGCATCAGGCTTGGCAGCAGGTGTTTTTACCCATTGTACCATCTTGCCATCCCATTTGTATTTTTGAGATAGGGTCTCATGAAGGCCAGGCTGGCCTCTAACTTGCTATGTAGCAAAGGCGATCCTTGAACTCCTGATTGATCCACTTGCTTCCACTTTACAAGTGCTGAGCTTCTGGGCATGTGTTAGCATGCCTAGACACCTTTGTAGTTTTGAGCTATGTGAATATGAATACTTATTCAAAAAATAAAAATTAGCAAAGTTAATTTTTATGACTCTGCAAAGCTTTGTAGTATGGAAACTTGGTTAATTGTGTTTGTTCATTTTCAGGTGACATCCAGAGTTCTGTGGGATGAACTCTAATTCTTTCCCAATGTTGTCTACCTACTTGTATCCACTTATTTGATTATGTGGAAAATGTGAACTGTAGTGTACAAATTGATAATTTAACCTAGAATTAAAATGTTTAAACCAATTTACAGTTACCTCTGAATTACCTGCCACTCCACGTCAGGGTTTCCTAACCAACATGCTAAGATCTGATTTCCTCAGCCTTAGAGAATGCGGGGGGATGGTGGCCAGAGCCATCTGGATGGTGGCTTCAGCTATAAGAAGCCCCAGGATGTTCTGTAAATATTATTTTCAATGTGGGCAGCGGTGTGGGAATATTGGGAAATATGGCTCTAGGAAAAGTATCTTGTATTTTAAAAACTATGCTTCATAAAAATAAATACAAAAGTAACAAACCAAGTGGTAATGGTCTTTTTTTTTTGGTCTTTTTGAGACAGGGTCTCCCTGTAGCCCCAGCTGGCCTGGAACTCACTATGTAGACCAGGCTGGCCTTGAACTCAGAGATCCGCCTGCCTCTGCCTCCCAAGTGCTGGGATTAAAGGCATGCACCACCACGCCCGGCTAGTTATGATCTTTGGGGAGATCTCAGTAGTGGTTTGCCCTGACCCGGAAGTCCTATCTTGTTTCCAGGCCAATGAAGTGGGACCTTGGTACCCTCCTGTGGAAGGCATCCATACAGTCCCTGAAAACGCCCTCAGTTTCAGCGTCTCCCACACAAGCCTAGTGGGAGGCACAGGAAGAGGCACATTTTAGGACATGATCTTGTACTTCGTAGGCACAAAATCCTTCTGACTCACCCCACTCTACTGAACCCATTGGAATCCATTGTCCTCAAAGCTTAAGTGAAATCTCATGTAGAGGCTAGCTCAGTTTAAGCTAATTTCAAATCACCAAAGATGAGAGATTTTTAAAGTATTAATGACAAGAAAAAAACACATTCTCTTTAATGATATTTCATGTAGGATAATAAAAGTAAGAACTTTGTTAAATTCTGTAATACTTGTCCTGTGGAATCCTGGTGGGTCTCATGATGTTGGTGACACTGCCTGTTCTTTATGTTTTCTGGAAAAGTGACTGAATTAGTATGTCAGTATAGTACTATCTGAAGATTCTGAGAGCTATTAAAATGCTTAAAAATAAAATGATCAATTCTTCCTTTGTTCTCTTGACAGGATAATTGAAGCCATCTGCATAGGCTGGTTCACTGCAGAGTGCATTGTGAGGTTCATCGTCTCCAAAAACAAGTGTGAGTTTGTCAAGAGGCCCCTGAACATCATTGACTTACTGGCAATCACACCCTATTACATCTCTGTGCTAATGACAGTGTTTACAGGGGAGAACTCTCAGCTCCAGAGGGCTGGAGTCACCTTGAGGGTGCTCCGGATGATGAGGATCTTTTGGGTGATTAAGCTTGCCCGACACTTCATTGGTCTTCAGACACTGGGTTTGACTCTCAAGCGATGCTACCGAGAGATGGTTATGTTACTTGTCTTCATCTGTGTTGCCATGGCAATCTTTAGTGCACTTTCGCAGCTTCTTGAACATGGGTTGGACCTGGAAACATCCAACAAGGACTTCGCCAGCATCCCCGCTGCCTGCTGGTGGGTGATTATCTCTATGACTACAGTTGGCTATGGAGATATGTATCCTATCACAGTGCCTGGAAGAATTCTTGGAGGAGTTTGTGTTGTCAGTGGGATTGTTCTGTTGGCATTACCTATCACTTTCATCTACCATAGCTTTGTGCAGTGTTATCACGAGCTCAAGTTTAGATCAGCTAGATATAGTCGGAGCCTCTCGGCTGAGTTCCTGAATTAATGCATTGCAAACCAATCTTTGCGCACACTCCATTTGATAGAAAGAGTTGATGCTGTTTCATATTCATGTGTTGCTAGCTGGGCGAGCACTGCGGTGGCATCGCCATTGTGTTGGTAGGGGAAAGAATTGTCCTTCCCAGCTGGAGGGATGAAGTGGTTTACTTCTGGAGTAAACAGGATGGAGACAGCAAGCAAAGAGCGCTGACACCTCGGGTAAACTTCAGGACCTGATTTTGCTTGGACTTGTCCCTTCCTTGCCTTGCACAATTATTACAGAGTTTTTGTTTTTCTTTAAAGGACATTATTTGAACACTTTAAAACAGAAAGGTACTATTTTCCAAATGTTTTTCCATCTTAACGAGTTCAGAAGAAGCTTGGAACTTAGAGTGTTATTTTTTGAGACTAACATTTCCATTTCTAAATGTTTTATAATTTCTCATATCAATGTCAGAAGTATCCTGGAAACATATGTCACATGCGGGAACTGTTTAACAAATACTTTAAAAATTTGGCCCAAATTTAAACTATATTCTTGAGCTAGAGACAAGGAAAAAAAAATATTATTTGAAAACCTGCGTGTTTTTCTGTCCTCTGCTTTGTTTTTGTGCTGATCACTTACTTTATCTGTAGCTTCATGGAACCTTTTTAAGTATGTTTTCCCTCTCCAGTTTCTCCAGCTTCTCTCTTTACTGAAGTAACTTCAAAAGAGTATCTAAGAATGAAGAAAGCTTGTGTCATTTCGCATTTTGTTGGGTGATACTATCATTCTTTTTGCTGCGGCTAGATGATCGTAGTCCTGACATTCAGATAGTTTAAGAATATCTCCAGCATAAAAGCAATGATAGAAAAAGTTTGGTATTATCAATATCGCAACCCAGTAGTTGTCTTCTGCTTCTAGCTTTTCCTCAGTACCACTAGTTTAGTAAGACTTAAAAGATGAAAGGATATTTAGCTTTTTGATACAAAAGTCATACTTAAGTATTGTCGCTAGATTATCATACAAAGAGAAATGCGCTTGTACTCTTAGTTCTGTGTAACTAAGTTGATTTTAAGCCAGCTACAAGTAATGCATATGTAATTATTTGACCTGATCTTCACCATTGTGAATCAGAGCTACACAAAAACTCTTCTTGTAAGGATGTCGGGTAATATGCCGTATTAATCTATTAATCTGTCGAGATAGTACTAGGCAGTGCACAAGTGATGGTTGTTTAGCACTAAATTTTAGCAGTGTGAATTAGAATTTCACTTTTTCAACCGATTGCAATAAAGAAATAATGTATACACACAAAAAAAACAAAGTCACTGATTCATGAATAATTTACTGTGCATAGTGAAGTCATCAGGTGTGGAGGAAATGGGTTGGGAGGTGGAGGGAGGAGACAGGATCTGGACAGACGTGTCCATTAAAGGAGTATCAGCCATCAGTTTAACTTTATTACGGGTAGAAAAGACAGGGTGTGATTGTTAAGGAGTTGGGGCCGAAACCTTTATCTTCAGAAATCTAGCCCAGCAGTTTATTCTGCACACACACCTCTGGGTTTTGGCAGAAACCGTCCTAAGCCATACTTCTTTCTTATTGCCAGCGTAAGGCAACAATTGCAAAACAGTGTCCTTTCCTCTAATTTCCTTTTCTGAGTTCATGTGATCTGTGGTATAGGTCTTACCTTTTCTTTCCCATCATTTCATTGGTGTGCTAAGTTTACACACTCTGTTATTTATGTATATTTATTGCTTTTTATGAGACATATGGCACAATTTTACTTATTTTTAGGTTTTGTGATCTGTGCAAATCATTTGCAGATGATGGCACTCTATATTATTAGCACAAGTATGATAACCTAGGCCAGATATGGTGGCACACACCTTTAGTCCCAGCACTTGGGAGGCAGAGGCAGGTGGATTTCTGTGAATTCAAGGCAAGCCTGGTCTACTTAGCAATTCCAGGTCGGCTGGGGCTACAGGTACTGGGAACACTTCATGTGAATATGTTTTATCTGCCTTAGTAAATTGCAACTGTCTTGTGAGCTGGGATCCCATCAGGTTCACGCAGCCATCTGCCCACAGTGTCTGTTACAGACTTGGCTGATGTGGAGCAGAGATTTCTGTATGAAGCAGTAAGGTGACCCAGAATCCACACATGAGCTTTTGTGTCACTTTGGTAACAAATGAGGACACTCTTGTTGATGATGCTGGACTTTTCCCAGCACTGGTTTTTAATGTAGCAGCCCATTGGATAGATGCTGTGGCAGTTCAGCTACCCATAAAGAGGGAGATAAGGCGTGATACAGTAGTTCCTTCATAGATGGGAAAGTGTACCAGAGTTCTGTTTTAGATGTTGATGTTGTAGCTTGTTGGGAACAGAGGTATTTTCTTGCCACTTTCTCTGAATGTTACTGATTTTTATTTTATGTATTTATTTGGCCTTTTTTTTTTTTTGAGACAGGTCTCTGCTATGTAAATAAGGCTGGTCTCAAACTTACAGTCTTTCTGCCTCTGCCTCCCAAGTGCCAGGGTTCCAGGTATGTGCCACAGCATCCAGGGGCTCTTTAAAAGTCGCAGAGGTGGTGTTCCTTCGTGGTTGAACTTTAGCATTTCTCGTAATTCAGTCTTCATGGGTAGAAATGCCAGATATCAGGAAGTCAGATACCTTAAATTAGAATACCTGAAGGGGATAGAGGAAGCCCCAGTCTTTATTCTGAGTTTACTACATTTGAGCATACATGTTTGTATTCTGTAAGACAAGAGACTAGAAAGAAAAGAAAAACCAGGGTAGGAAGTACATGTCAAAGTTAGTGCACTGTTGCGCTCAATTATTTCTCTTCTTTTATTACTATGTTATCATCATTACTATGTTGTCATCATAGGTTGCTGGTTCAAACAGTTGAATTTGTTCTTTGGTTACTTTTAACTGCTAAACCCAACATCTGTAAATTTTTTCCTTTCTTTTCATTTTATTTTTCTGGTGTTTTGAGGCAGGTTCTTCCTGTAGCCCCAGCTGGCCTGGAACTCTCTATGTAGACCAGTCTGGCCTGATTCTCAGAGAGATCCGTCTGCCCTTGCCTCCCGAGTACTGGGATTAAAGGCATGTACTAAGACTCCTGGCCTTTTTATTTAAAAAATGTTAAAATATACTCACTCAGGGCCGGAGGGATGGCTCAGTGGTTAAGAGAACATACTACTTTTCCAAAGGATCTAAGTTCAGTTTCCAACAACTATATCAGACAACTCATAACCACTTCTTCTCCTGGGGGATCTGATACCTTTGGCTTCTGTGGGCACCTGCACTCACATGTACATAACCCCCCCCACACACACATAATTGAAAAACAAATATATTCCTCTATAGTGACTGTTAGTACATCAAAAATAATACTTTAAAGACTTTATTTACATTTGTTTATGTATTTTATGTGTGTGTGGCATGTGTATGGGCATGTGAACCACACTGTGCAGTAGAGGTCAGAGGACAGCTTGTAGGAGTCTGCTCTCTCCTTCCACCATATAGGTTCTGGGGATTAATCTCAGATCCTCAGGCTTCGCAGCAAGCACCTTTACCTGCTGGGCCATCTCATTGGTCTTTCTTTTAAACTTTCATGTGAATGTCTTGCCTACATCTTTTGTGACTTGGCAGAGTAGAGATGAGATTAAGGTGAATATTGACGTGGAGAGATTTTTCTTAGTTGGCTTGCTATTTTATAGAAACAGCTTATGTTTCTTCTTTGCTATAGAAATGAAAATAAACTGAAAACTCCTAGTTCTGTTATATACAATTAAGCTTCGTAACTTCATATTTAAAGCATGACTTCACTGAGTATTCAATCCCCTGTGGCCTGACATAAACATGCATTCTTTGTGGTATATAGTAAACCAATCAACCAATCAACTCTAGCCTAAGTATTTCATAGGGTCACAGGAAGTTAGAACTAAATAAACCTTCTGGTATACCTTGCCTCAAGGTATACATCTTTTGTCCCACCCAAACCTTAGCAATGGAAGTCTGTTCTTACTGGATTGTAAATTAGGTCAGGTAATTGTAATGTCAGGTCAGGTTAAGCAACAAAAACTTGATTTTCAGACTGCTGGTTCTTTAGATACACTTCTTTCCCACCCCACCACTCCTATTTAAAAAATTTTTGCAAAGTTAGATCAAAGATTTTTTTAAAAAATATTTTCTTTAGGGCCTGAGCAATGGCTCATCAGTTAAGAGCTCTTGCAGAGGACTCAGTTTCTTTCCCAGCACCCACATGTTAGCTCACAACCATTTGTAACTGTACCTTCAGGGGATCTGATGCCCTCTTCCGGTCTCTGAAGGCACCAGACATACTCATGGTGCACGTGCATACATGTGGGTAAATGCTCATATACATGAAATAAATCTATTTTTTTCTTTTTTTCTTTTTATTATTTTGAGACCAAAAAAACCCACTATGTAACTATAAAATAACTAATAACCAGCCCCAGCTGGCCTGGAACTCATTAGATCAGACTGGCCTAGATATCACAGAGATACATCTGTCCCTGCTGGGATTAAAGGCATGCACCACCACACCTGGCTAAAAGATTTTCTTTAATGCTTTCAAGGTTAGTTCTAATTGAAAAACAGTTATTGTTTTGGAAGCCTTATATGTCAGCAAGGAGGATTATGCACTAGCACAGTGCCTAGGGAACTCAGATTTTTCATTTATTTTTGGTTGTTTCATTTTGGTTTGGTTTTATGAGCTAGGTTTCCACGTAGCTCTGGCTGGCTTTGAACTAGTAATTCTTCAGTCTCTGCCTCCCAAGTGCTGAAATTTATAGGCATGGGCGGCCATGCCCTGTGGGAACTCATGTTTTTAATAGACTTCTTATCTTTGTTTTTCTTTTTTTCCTTCCCTTTTTTCCCCAGTGCTGGAGACTGACCTTATGCATGCTAGGCAAATACTCTTCCCAGCCCTTCAGTAGAATTTAAAAAAACATTTTATTATTTTTATTTTATGTGTATGCATGTATTGCCCGCATGTGGATAAGTGCACCCATGTCATGCAGTGCCCACAGAGAACAGAAGAGGCTGTCGGATCCCCTGGAACTGGAGTTACAGATAGTTGTTAGCTGCCATGTGGGTTCTGGGATTCAAACTTGGGTCTCCTGCAAGAACAGCCAGTGTTCTTAACATCTGAGCCATCTCTCCAGCCCCTTCAGTAGAATTTTTAAATTGAAAAGGCATGTGTGTATGTTGTGTATGTGTATATTTACATGTGTGTGTATATGTATATGCACATGTGTACAGTCATTTCGTTACTGTCATTGCTTTATTTAGGAGAGCCATAGCTGGGCAGGAAGCTTTAGTGGAATGTTGTGAAAAGCCCCAGTTTGATCAGGGAAGCCTGCATACACGTCTGTTTGTTCAGCATGCATTCATATGGTGTTTTGCTTCCTGTCTTTTAGAACCCATCTGTACTTGTGGGAATGGGCATAACAGTTCCACTTCTGAAAGTAAACTAATGATTTACTGCCCCATTTGCTGTGGAACCTTCCACTGCATTGTGAAATGTCATCAGAAAGCAAGATGTTGCCCCATTATGTGACAACTTACACCTACACTTTCAGATTTCCCATGTCCCCCAGACATTCCCAACAAGCATTTTAACTACACACACACACACACACACACACACACACACACACACACAGGGGACTGAACCTAGTACCACATGCATGCTGGTCTAGTGCTCTACCACTGAGCTGCATCCCCTGGTGGTGCACTTTAACTTTTGACCTTTCATGTAGACTTAATAGCCAGCTTACGGAACTGAATGTGATGATTTGCATGTATGTTACTTATTTTATTGTTTTGTTTTTGAGACCAGTCTTGCTGTGTAGCTCAAGCTGGTCTCAACTATGCAGTCCTCCTTCACCCTCACAAATGCTGGGATTTACAGGTATATACTACCACACCTGGTTCTAATACTGTATTTTTTTCTTTTTCATTTTAATTGATTTTTTTTGTGTGTATTTCATACAGAACATCCCAATCTTATTCATCTTTATACCTGCATCCCAAATGGCACCTTCCCATAGCCTCTCCGCTCCCCCAGCCCATATACGCTGTCATCCCTGTTACTGTCCACTGTGTTGTCAGTGCCCCCAGCCGTTTCCCAGTGCAAGTCCATCCGCTGAGTCTAGTTGGCCTATCTAGACTCCCTTGATTTAGGAAGATCAGCTCTTTCTCATCTAGCAGCAATCAGTTGCCAACATTCTTTTCGATATGATTGGGGTCTGTTGTTCATTTTCCCAGTTCTATG